TACGTAGGCCGTTCAGAGCTCTACGTTCTTCATTGCTGATGTTAGATGTTGGAACTGGTTCTCGATCCAGCTGTTCTCTAATTTTCCATCTGAACTCTTCTGCCTCGGTCTGGTCAATAAGGGAACTGGTGGATTCCACTGCAGTAATTATCTCCAAAGTGGGCACAGATGTTGGCGTAATGGCGAAATTTAGGCCTTTTCTCAACAAGGATTCCTCTATTCCCGTGAGCGGGCGGGAACTCATGTTGATGACGTTGGCGGCTTCATAGTTGTCCTGTTTTCGGTCTGCATTTAGGCATTGTTTCCTCACTAACTTCCCCCACTTTCTATTGTGGGTATTCTCCATATCTTGGCGGATCTTCAAGCACGTGCTTTCAATCTTGGCAAAGATTGGTCCATGATCATCTTCCAATGTCTCTCTTCTTATCTCTTCAAGTATTATGTCAATTATTATCGACTATATGATATTCAATATTTGTATCATAGTATTCAGAAAGTGTTCTGGGCCACTGTTTTACATATGTTGTTACGCTTAAGAAAATAGCAGGAGTAATGTAATTATGGTTCACGTACACTGCACCACAAAAATATGTAACATGCACAAAATATTATAAAAATCAGTTAGTGGCAAAAATAACTGTGTTTTTTCTGTTTGAATGACACATTTAATACCCTTTAGGTGTTTATTAGTAATATTGATATCATTCCAATTATTTTACTTGCAGAAAATTGTACTACCAAATTCAATCGACCGAATTACTGCGAACTTTGATGAACTTTATGAATTGCTCAATGGAATTACAGACGACACTAAAGTAATTTCTTGCTCCGTTACATATGGAAGCATTGGTGGTTCAACACCTTGTGGTGGTCCAAGCACTTCTGGATGTTTTTCCAGATTATCATGTTTTTCGTGTTGACCTTTGATAATTGGAATCTGATAGTGAACTTTATGATAGTAACAATTCAATTGATGACCCCCCTACATCTTGGAAAAACAACTCCCAAGAGGCACATTATTGCTTGACTCCATCGAATTAAATTCAAATCTATCTAAAAAAATTTAGAATATTATCCCATGTAGCATTTCGTACGATTTTATGAAAGAAACATGCATTCTAACTGTTCATCTGATAAGCTTACAGCTTTCTGTACCAGAAAAAGACCGGATCCAAAAGTTATTGTTTCCAAAACAAAATGGAAGATCTGTAAACACAACACTACAAGGAAATTATTCACAGGGTAAGCATTTACCAATAAGGGGGAATATACCATGGTATGGGAACTGTAGTACAACAAATACTACACGGAAATTGGTCGCAGGGTAAGCATTTACCAATAAGGGGAAACATACCATGGTACGGGAACTGTAGTACAACAGATGCTACACGGAAATTGGTCGCAGGGTAAGCATTTATCAATAAGGGGGAACATACCATGGTACGGGAACTGTAGTACAAAAAATAAAATTGTCAGATCCGCACTCATTTGCAAAAAATATGATGTAGCATTGGGTGTTTCATGTTTTGAACCACAAATCAAACTTATAGTCATCTTGAGTTACCTATAATATATTTTACATTTGTAAAGTAAATCAATGAATAAAATGAATATGGTTATTCTGTTGATCAACATAGTGACATTGCCATCACACAAATCGTTTGGTGGTTAGTATAGTGACCCAGAATTTTTTAATACATATATTTATCTAATACCTTGGAGCCTATTTTCAGCATCCGTTCGTGAAAATGACCTAAATTTATAAAAAAAGCTCTGCTCTATGGAGTGTTTATACGCTTTGTATCTCTCAGGAATTCTCAATTTTCCGTGCTAGCCATCCTATTTATTACATATTGTAACTTGTACATCAACAAGTTCAGTACTCAATAATATTACAGTATTGAAGAGAAGACAATTCGATTCGGTAGAATTTTAGTGTCCAATATCGCATGATTTTATTGTGTTCCTTCAGTTCAAAGAGTAATTTGATAATAAATGATAAGTAATTCAGACAAATCAAATCCTTTTATTTTCTAGTTTGACAGTTTTACGAGTTATTATATTAGGAATGATCAGTAAAACTTGAAGCTAAATTACAAAATAAATTACAGACTAGTACACATAAACCAGACACACACAACATGCACACATCATACATCCAAAAACAGCTTTGGCTGATACNAGTTTAAATAAAAGGTTACATTCTTTAAGAAATTCAACAATATTGTTGGTATTGCTATTTTGGAAAATTTCACTTAGTTTGGAGGGAATTTTATTGTTCAGTCTCTCAACTGTGAACAGTGGGCACTCTACCAGAACATGCTTAACAGTCACAGCTTCACACGCGAAACATTTTGGTGGCGGTTCTTTCCTCAATAGATGTTCATGCGTAAGGCGAGTGTGGCCCAGTCGTAATCTGGTGATTATGATTTGATGGAAGCGGTTTGTTGCTTTGTTGTTCCAAGGGTATAATGTAGCCTTGATTTCCTTAAGTTTGGAAGGTTTTTGAGACCAGTGGTGATTTCACATTTCTACAATTTTGCAATGGAAATAGGATTTGAGATCCATCGGCAATGCTTTCATATTGAGATTACATGCTGGATATTCTACAGCTTCTCTGGCAAGTTTATCGGCTATATCGTTTCCAGAAATCCCAGTATGTGAAGGAACCCACAGGAGGGTTACTTTCCTGTTATCTAGTTGATTCATCTCTTCTATCATATTTAGCAGTACGTAATTGGTATATATTCTCGACAAAAAAATAAGGGAGTTGAGAGAGTCCATAATTACCAAAAACTCTTTACCAGGTGCCATTTTAATGAAGGAAAGAGCTTTATATGGCATAAAGTTCTCCAGTGAGAATAGTGGCAGATTCATGTAAAGAAAATTTACAGGCGGTCTTGTTCGTTACGAATACACATCCTACACCACGAGTTGTTTTTGAGGCGTCAGTGAAAATTTTCTGGTGAAGTGGGTATTGAGACATTACAGTTTGGTAATCAGCTTGGATCAGCTGGGGATTTGTGGTTGCTTTACTCATGGATAGTAGCAGAGTATTTATATTCGGTAAGGGAATACGCCATGGACGAGTTCTTTTTGAAAGTTTGGATTAATTTTTTTTGTTTCAAACCCTTCTAATGTTTTGGTTTCTTTTATAACCTATAACATTAGGACCTTTGAAAGCAATCCAAGCTGGAGCTCGCAGAACTCAATATAATTTTTTGCCTGTTGTTATTTGTATGAGTAGAGCCACCAGTGGAGAGAAAGACGACAGTGAGATGTCTACATCTAAGATAAGCCTATCATTTTAGGAGTAACCTTACTCATGCCCTATTTCACCATTAGAGGAAACCCGACTTTAATTTTTGAAAACATACACACAAATTTCCATTGTGTACAAGCAGGGTGAAGTATTTCTTTTTTCTTGAAGGAAGGTGTTGAAACTAAGGCGTTCACTTCTAGTGTGCTCGTTCACCATTCTAACCATAATTAACTACAAGTCTTTGTGTTTTATAACCTGCATCATCTGTCTCATTCGAAAACTTGAATACATTTCAGAGATGAAGAATGAAATCTCCCATTATGATGATCTGATTATTTCTCTAATCAAACAGCTGGATCTAAACAATTTCGATGAATGTTAACCTGAATTGATATATTACTGATAAAAGTTTTATAAACAATTTGCCTTTATGATAAAAAAATCTATGCTATAAAAAAGGGTTTTCCTATAACACATGAGAGGTATACAATTATCAGACATTCTGAATTTTTGTAGGAAATGAAAGAGTTTTCACTATTCCACAATAAAAGAGATGATTTAGGTGAGTACCTGTTCAAGTTCTTTTCTTAACGCAAATACTGCCTTTTCTCTGTCAGCAACAAGTTCTTCCAAATATTGGTATCGAAGTTTCTTACGAGCTCTACATTCTCTGGCACTTTGACGACTGCGTTCTGAAAAATAAAGAAGAAAAAATTATTATATTGCAACTATGAATCCAGATTTCAGAGACTCTTTTAAAATAATCCTTTGAGACAAATTGTCTGAAAGGATTATATTTGAAAAGAGTTTATTTTGAAATTAATTGCTTTCTTCTTTCCTATGAAAGTTTCCAACATTTTTTGTATATAGATGGAGAAGTAAAAAGCTAAAGCCTTTCTTTCCTACAAATGTAGGTTCAGACTTGTGTTACATTGATGTGTATTAGGGTGTTTCTAAAATTTGTTTATGTTTAATTTATCTTTAACAAAATGATGTAGATATACAGGGTGTTCCTTAAACACATGCTAATATTTAAGGAGGTATAGACCCATTTTAAGGAAAAAACNTCATGAATAATGTTTTTCATGTTCTTTTGTTACGATTATTACTCATTGTGATACCACAACAAAAAAGGTATCGTACTTCAATTAATTGATGTACCGTCAAGGAACATGTACATACGGAGAAGTAACTTACCCAATTTGGCTTTCATGTCAATTTTTTCAGCTGATTTCCTGCCTGGCTTCCGTCCCCGCTTCCCTGATTCCTTGCGAGAAGGACCTTCCTGGAAATAATATCATAAATTACTGTTACTCTAGCAACTATATTCAAAAGTTTTTCAATGAAAATATAAAAATTAAAAAATGTGTGGTTGGTTCTTGAGTGTTCCTGTTTATTTATGCTGTAACCAATGGTCGTTTATATCCTTTTTCTTGGCTTCACCGTGCCTACTAAGTACGAAGTCATTTAAGCTAGAAACACGTGTTTACGGTTTGTGTTGAATATATCAGCAACTCTATAAAACATTTTATTTTTCATTATACAGTCCATTTTTTTTATTATGTGGTAACATTGCTATATTCTAAACCGTAACAGATATTTATGATGCACTGTTTAGAACCTTTGGTGTAGTACTAAAATATTACTGGAGTTTTTCTCTCAACACCAAATCGTTATTTTCAACACCTCGACGCGTGTTTCGATCACCAAGTGATCATCTTCAAAAGGAAGATTAAACTGTTTAAATTCAAATTATTTAGCTGCTTACTCACTGCTCAGTTGAATCAATTTTCAAACTGATGACACAGTCGTTCATCTATTCTATACTTACTTATTATTATAAATGTGAAAGTTGTGAGGATGGATAAATGTATGTATGTAGGTATGTATGTTTGTGACTATTTCAAGACTAAACGATTGAACGGATTCTGTGCTGTCGCACCCCTACGAATGACAACCCTCAGAAGTCGAAACTTAACGAGATGTTACCTTTTAACGTGTGATTTCTAAGACGGCTTGGACGATAGCAAGTGACAATCGAAGATGAAACTTTACATAAATACAGCTTATACATCAGCATATCATATAGGCTACAATTTACAAAGGTTTTGTGTAATGTTGTTTAATATAACGATAAGTATTAAGTAAGTCGGAAAAATGTTTGCTCCCTGAGAGCTATCTGCCTATACTGTTGGAGTTATATGAGGATAATGTACTATGAGATTGTTTATCTTAAATAGTTCTAAATAAAAATCCGCGATAGCATATACAGGGTGTTGATTAAGTATGTAACATAAATTCAACAGACGATTCTTGAGGTAATTTCAAAACGAATTGTTCATATAAACATGGGTCCGCAAATCATTCGTTCTCAAGATACAGGGTGGTTAAATTAAAAATGAAAATAAAGTTATTGGTAAATATCTTAAATATCCTTTACCTAAGTTTGTTGTAATTTGGCAATGGTATTTATAACATTAAGGAGCTAATTTAGCCCGAACGTGATTCAGTTTATCAAGTCCAGTGGCGTCTCGAGCGGGATTTGAACGAATATTTTTGACTTAAAAATGTACGCCACTGACTTTTGTGCAATAGTGAAGATATACATGAAGTGTC